TCGATGGGCCACCCTGTATTTATATACGGTTTGCTAAAAAATTAAGGAAATAGGGCTAAAAATAAAGAAAATATAATATTTTAAACTAGACCAAATTTTTTTCCGTTGCGTTGAGTTTGTTTATTAAAAATAATAAAGTTGACCAAAAATACAGATGGGTTAAAAATACCTATGCGTGAATTAACTGTTTATTAATGACAATTGGTGAGAATTAGTTAAAAATTGAATTAGGATAGTTATGTGAAAAGTTCAAGTGTCGGTATCAATAACGTCCAATATCCATGGGTAAAATATCGCTGTAATAAGATTTAAATCGCTAGTTAACAGTCTATTTATATCAGTATATATCAGGGCAAACATTCAATAGCATCGTATGTAAAAATGCCAGTATTGTTTTTAACTTGAGCTAATGAAAAGCTTCGCTTAGGTATCTACCTAGTAATTATTTTCTTTATTTTACGTTTATTTCGTGTTCAAATAATTTATTTCGAGTCCATAGTACAATATTGAATGCAATACCAGCTGGTAGATATGTTTTTATACGAACTGTGTTGTTTAGAAATATTTTAAAAGGATAATTAAAGAAAAAAACATTTTGGTATTAATGATTTCTGTTGAAGTAACGCATTTTTTGCATTAAAATAGGTAAACAAGTAGTACTTTGTTGATTGTACGTACAGCATTTAATTATATGAGGCGTCAAGTTGCAAAACCCGCCTTATCCATTTTTTTTAATAAAATGACTTAATGTCATACACTCAGATGCAAAAAAACCGAACAGAGAAATTTTTGGTAAAATTTAAATTGTTATATTTTTGTTATTTTTAGCCCTATTTTCATGAATTTTTTTGCAACCTGTATATAATTATATCATCTTTAATTCGTATACTCCGTTTTTTATAAACTCTTGTATTTGGCATATTATACAGGGTTAATCGAGGGGTTGTTTTCTTACCCTAACTTTAAAACACCCTGTGCAATAATTTCGTGTGTAAATTTTCCTAAAATATAATTTTACGGCCAGAACCATGTCTCCTGAGCATTTTGTTTTTTGGATCATGTCAATACATGCCTTAGTTATAGGCCAGTCATCTAAGACATTTAAAAAGGCAAACATCGCAAACGGGACTGTATCTACCATTTTTTAAGGTAATTATTGTTAGGACCCATGAGACTAAGTTATGCCCAATTTTGCAACCCTCAAAACCCTGTGCTACTCCCGTGATACTCAAAAAACCTCAAAATTTTGGTACTTATTTCAGTTTTTTTGAAAAAACTATGTTAGAATTTTAGAATTTAGAATGAGTGGGAGGGGGGTTAATCACTTCGACCTTACAGATCCATTGTGTCCCCCTTTCTTGAATCATAACTCATCATACAGTCCCAGGGCTTTGACAAAAGCCAGTATCTGGGACGGTTTTATAGAGGGTAGTTCTCCATCTCCAATATCAGTCGTACCAAAATTCATGGCACGAATGGTTGTCGTCTCGGCGCACTCAGTGATGAGGTGTACTGGTGTTTCCCCATCTTCCCCACAGAATCTGCATTCGCCGTTTCCTCTTAGTTTCAATCTACTGAGGTGTCCATTGAGGAGACAGTGTCCTGTTAAAAACCCCGTGACAATCCGAAGATTGTTCTTACTCAGACCCAGGAAGGTCTGTGATTTTTCTTGATCATAAGCCCTCAGAAACTTCTTCGAGTGTCTTAGACCATTACAAGATTTCCATTCCAGGTTGCGGATGGAATCTTCCAAGTTCTTGAGTTCCGCCTTGAGTTGGTTACCACTTGGAAAGCAGAACGGTTCTGGTCCAGTTAGTGGAGTGTTCGCTCCTTTCCTAGCTAGATTATTTGCTTTTTCATTGCCTTCTATCCCTTGGTGAGCAGGCACCCAGTGTAGGAGGACTTTGTTTTCTTTGCCTAATTTATTCAGCTTCTCTATGCATTCTTTTTTTAAAAAAAAAAATATGTTAAGAAAGCATTTAAATTTAATTGTTCTATCCTTTTATAAAGTCAACTAAATTTCCTACAATTTAACCCCAACCCGAACCCTCTAGGCCCATTCATTGTCGAAATACAGCCAATCAAATATCGGCTATTTTTTGAAAAACTAAAAATGTATGAGTACGGTCACATTCCAAAGCACGTATCGCCTAAACTAATGTTGTAGAGAATTTATTCAGCTTTAATTTGATGTAAGAATAGGGCCGCTAGGTGTCGTATTTTCCTCAAAAACGAAAAAATTGTTCACTGAAGAAGGAATGCGCAAGGGTACTAAATCTTCCTTCTATTCAGCATTTACACCGCTCGCTAAAAATATTATCCCAGGAAACAAGGCGTTCACAGTGGTCGATGGTGGTTACCTCCTGCACAAGGTAGTCTGGCATTGAAATCATTCAGTCAGAGATATTGTGGCTGGATACGTCAGCTACTTTTTAAACAACTTTGGTAAAAATGTTGCAGTGGTTTTTGATGGATACCCAGAAGATGCGGCTATGAAAAACACTAAATCAGCTGAACGGCTATCTGCTTCTCTTTCCTGTTGTGACATTTTGTTTGCCTCAAGTGCCTCAAGTAAAAGTGCTCTCAAATGAATCGAACAAACGCCGACTGATCACCATGTGTACCGAATTTGAGAGACAGGGTATCGAGGTACATCAATCACCAGAAGACGCCGATGCTGAGATAGTGAGAACTACCCTCTCCAAGAGCTCATCGTACGACCAAATTTTTATAATGGAGGAGGATGTTGATTTACTGGTCCTCTTAAATGGCTTGAGCTGTGGACAAACAAACGTCTACTTCCAGAAAGGCGGTATAGGTGGATCTGAGTGCCCTCAATATGAGGCAAATTCTTTCTTAAGTGGAAAAATGCAGCTTCCAGGAGAGATGGTTTTGTTTCTGCATGCAATCAGTGGGTGTGCCCCCACTTCTGCTCTTTTCTGGCAAGACAAAATGAAGTGGTGCGAATGTCTACAAAAAAATCCCCACTGGATAGACCTCGCCACCATTTTCATTGATCCAAACTCGACGCAGGAAGAAGTAGGAAATGCTGGCGAGAAGATTTTGTTGAACCTCTATGGAGGGGATCAGGGCACGCTGAACAGCATGCGATACTTGGCCTTAGTTAAATCGGCAGGAATGGCTAAAATAAACCTGGCCCGCCTCCCCCCAACTACAAAAGCTGCCAAATATAATTTCTAGAGAACCTACTACCAGGTTCAAAAATGGTTGGGGGTCGAGAAAAATCCATCGATTTAATATATGAGGACCCACCTCCATCGTCAGAGAATGTCCTTCCTTCTCCTCCTCCCCCCTCTCCGACTGATCCGGAATGGATGGGGCCCGGTCCTTCTAAGAGGGCCAAATAAAGTAGGGCTTTTGTATTATATTTTATAGTTTATACAATTATATTAATGTTTATTTTTAATTACGTTTAATAAAATATGTTTTCATGATACCCCCCAAACTTCGATGTTTTATTATATTTTGGTCTCATTCTTACATCAAGTTAAAGCTGAATAAATTCTCTACAACTCTATTTCTCATGACTTTTCTCTAGAGCCATTAGTTTAGCCGATACGTGCTTTGGAATGTGACCGTACTCATAAATTTTAAGTTTTTCAAAAAAATTGCCGGTATTTGATTGGCTGTATTTGAACAACGAATTGGCCTAGAGGGTTCGGGTTGAAATGCTTTCTTAACATAGTTTTTTCAAAAAAACTGAAATAAGTACCAAAATTTTGGGATTTTTTGAGTATCACGGGAGTAGCACAAGGCTTTGAGGGTTGCAAAATTGGGCATAACTTAGTCTCATGGTCACAATAGTCACAATATTTAAAAAAATCGTAGATACAGTCCCGTTTGCAATGTGGGATGTCTTAAATGACTGGCCTATTAATGTTTAAGAGCGAAATGAACTTGCCACCAACACTTTGCAATTTTTTCAATGATCTTTTTGAAGTAATTTTTCAATATGACAAGGCCGCTTTGGTGATTATTGTGAACTATATACGCTACTATGAACTGACCATCAAGTTCATTTCTATGAATGAATCAAAGTCTAATGTTTATCTTTGTCTGAAATATCAGGTCATATTTCAGCGATAATTAATAATAATCAATTTCTTAGAACAATTTTAAATATTTACCATACCTTTCGATAAGAAATGTCATTGTACAGGATGAGTCAAAGATAAAGTCTACAAAAAATATATTAAATATAAAAGATATAGAAAAGTTTAAGATAAACATTTTAAAATTATTATAGAGTATACAGAGTGCTTTAAAAAAGTGTGGCGGTTTTTTAAAAGCAACAACCTATTTTTTATTTTATTTTTAGATTCTGCGTAAAATTCTATAACTTTTTTTATACAGGGTGTCCCAGAAATAATTGCATATATTTTAAGGGGTGGTAGATCTGGTCAAAGGAAAGAAGTTATTGAACTTTGAAAATTTGGAACATTTTGAGAACCGCTGGCGATAGTCGGCTATTAAGTTTTTTTCAAGAGGTTTTTCAACTTATTCGACGACTCCGGTGAATAAACAAGTGGCACTAAAAAGTTTTTTAAAATGTCAAGAAAAATATAAAATTTTCAACAATTAAAAAATTGTTACCTCATAGGCGTGTTTCTGGGGCCGATATACAGGGTACAATATCTAGATCGGAGGTTTTTTGCACATCATTGTTTTACAACGAGATCCAGTGGCGTAGCAAGGTGGGGGCGGAGGGGGCAGTCCGCCCCGGGCGGCGGCTCTTCCGAAATACCGGAAGTTGACAGCAACTTTCTTATTTTAAATGGGTTCCCCCATTTTTTATTTATATATGAACTGTTTACCTTAAAAATACTCAAAAAAACACCCTGTTAAATATCGGACACTTATTTAGAAACAGCCTGTGTATTTTTTTGTTTATAAGCTTCTGAACTTAATTTTTTTTTTCCAATAATTTATTAAGAAATGCTTAAAAATATATAAAAAACAACTTTTAATATGTTGTGCAGGGCCGAAAACCATGGGATCGCCCCCACATTGTCCATCAGAAGAAGAAGGAAGTTTAAGGGAGGGTAAGTAAACAATAAAAATCAAAAAACAACCCAAAAAACTCTGTTTTAACATCGCCGATGCCAAGGTTTATGGCCCTGCACAACCAAACTCTAACTATATAATTATATGTGGTATGGAATTTTGCTTGTTTGTTGCTTTTTGGTGTGGTTTTGTATTTGCTTGTGTGTTTGCCCTGTATTTTGATTCTTTTACCTTTAATAGTATTGTCTTAGTGCATTTCAACTGATTTTTTAAAATAGCGACAGCAGAGAAAGCTCGGTATGATAGAATATTGATGATCATTCAACCATTGTCAATTCTATTGATCTCAATCATTCCAGACTATTCGGGCAATCAGTCATACCTCCTACAAGGTTAAGTTTATTCACTTAGATGTTTTTAATGCAACTGGATGCAGTTAGACCATAAAAAACCATTCACAGTTTTATTTTTGTCATTGTTTCAACAACTCTTAAAAATTAAATGTAAAGTTTCGACTATTAAAAAGCTAATCATCAATCAATACCAAGTTGTTCAAAGAATACTGTATACAGGGTCCGGCAATAGTGCGTCGGGCATCTGTAGGTCCTAAAATAAAAAACTTGGGAATTTTGTTTAAGTGCAAACTAGGATGTATTTTATGAAAATATTTTTACTTCTACAGGGTGTCTCAAAAAAGCGTGAGAAGATCGGGATGATTTTTTTTTAAATGGAACACTATATTGGATTTTTGGATCACTTTACATAATCCTAAGATACGAGTAAATATATTTCGATAGTTTCAGACATATTAATAAATAAATAAAAATTATGTATTTCAGCGTTTTATTAAAAAAAATAACAATACAAGAATTGTCTTGAAATCAAAACTATATTAGGTATTTACTTTAGATGGTTTGTTCTTACTTTGCTATAAATATGGTAATCGTAAATCATACAGGATGTTCTAAATTCTACGCCAAACTTTCTAAATTATAAAATAAGTTTTCTGCGTTTTTTTTTGAAATGGAACAACCTGTATATTATTTTTTTACCAGATGGAGACTTAAAAAATGAACATTTTTTGTGTTTAAAATATATCAAAATTTTTAATGGTTTCGCAGATATTCGCGATTTTATATTTCATAAGGCATTTTCAACCCTAAATTTTTATCAAAGCCACCCAATGATTTTTCTCTCGTATTTTACCATTTGGAGAGCCATATGCAATAATACTGCGTGTATCTGTAAAAATATTATAAAAATTTGAATATTTTTTAAAATGATATAGTGTTCCATTAAAAAAAGAAATAAAGAAAAATTATTTTATATTTTAGAAAGTTTGGCGTAGAATTTTGAACACCCTGTATGATTTAAGATTACGAGACTTATAGCAAAGTAAGTATAGACCATCTAAAGTAAATATCTAATATAGTTTTGATTTAAGGACAGTTCCTGTATTTGTAATAATTTTTTTAGGAAGATTGAAAAATATATATTTTTTAATAATATTTCTGAAATTATCGAAATATATTTATTCATATCTTAGGAATATCTAAAGTGATCTGAAAGGAAGCCAAAAAAGCAATAATATACAGGGTGTTCCGTTAAAAAAAATTATCTCGATCCACTCACGCTTTTTTGAGCCACCCTGTAGTTTGCACTTAAACAAAATTCCCAAGTTTTTTATTCTAGGAGCTACAGATGCCCGACGCACTATTGCCGAACCCTGTAGATTACAGAACTACATGCCCCATATTGGTCACTTTATTTTCCTGGTCTGTATTTTAAGGTGTACGACAGAGAAAAATATATTTGGCCGGTTGACAGACAGAGAAGTAAAATAAAAACCGACATACAGTGTTGCCGGTTCGTAAACTATTTTAAAAACTTAAAATAATATATCCAAACTATTTAATAATGCTCTATCTACTAATATACATATCACTGTCTTACACGTTATAATCCAGACCACGGGTCTACGGTGACCAAATCTGTATATGATTGAGAAAAAAAAACAGCGTCAGAGGTGGCTTGAAAATGACGATCGATGAAATTTTTTATGTAAATTTTTTAAAGTACTATTATATTAGTAAAAATAATAATATGCATGATGCTTTAAAATAGTTTTATTTCTCTGTTTTGTAGGTATTTTTTTCATTTACTGTTAGATTCTTGTGTTCTTAGTGAATGCGTTGAATTCTACTTAGAATGTAATTTTACCTGATCACATCACACAGCGCTTCTTCTATTCACCAATAACCTGTACCATTCTAAGTTGTAAGAACCTACTAATACTACTAAATTGCACTAAGAATGGTTGTTTTTATTTCAGATTGTGTCGCAAGCGGTAAGTGTTTTATTATTCTTTACCCTAATATTTGCAAGTTTTAACTTTAGAGAATGTTTCATTTTTTGAATAGACTGTTTGAAATTTTGATTATTTATAATTTTATTTAATATTTCGATAATAATTTTTATCAAAGTCAGCACCTAAATGATTTTAGAAAATGCACTGGCTAAAAAACTGCCGGCGGTATTGTTAATGTATACAAAAATACCGTCATACCGGCGGCATGATATTTTTATGTCTACAAATACCGGTGGAAAATTGAATTCATTTGTCGTTGACAGCGGCATACCGTAATTTAAACATCGATACCGCCGAAATGATAACATTTGATTTTTTATTTGAATTATAAAAAAATATTTGTAAAAATAAATTGTAATAAATTTTACATTAACAATGCCGCCGGCGGTATTGTTAAAGTATACAAAAAATACCGTCATACCGGCGGTATGATATTTCTATGTCTGTAAATACCGTTGGAAAATTGAATTAATTTGTCGTCGATGGCGGCATGCATTTCACCTGGAAGACAAAAGACCGTCCCGACTATACTGTATTTTAAACATCGATACCGCCGAAATAATAACATAACCTAATATATTTTCTGCATTTTCATTTTGTTCATATCTGCATTTTTATTTTTCGACTTGAATTGTAAAAAAATGTAAAACAAAAGAATGAAACCAGGGCGGTATTGGTGGTCTTTAAAAGTGTACCGCCGAACAGCATTCTTTATTGTATATTTAGTAAAAACTGTCATACTAGAAAAATTATCTCGTTATTCGGCTGTATTTATGTTAATTTTTGGGCGGTATTTATGTTAAAATTAGGCGGTATTGGTGTCTCTAAAAAAGTGTACTGTCGAACGGCCGGCATTCTTTATATATATTCAGTAAAAATCGCTGTACTTGAAACATTACCTCGTTATTCGGCGGTATTTCTGTTAATTTTTGGGCGGTATTTATGTTAAAATTAGGCGGTATTGGTGTCTCTAAAAAAGTGTACTCTCGAACGGGGGCATTTTTATATATTCAGTAAAAATCGCTGTACTTGAAACATTACTTCGTTATTCGGCGGTATTTATGCTAATTTTTGGGTGGTATTTATGTTAAAATTTGGCGGTATTTGGGGCTTTAAAAAAGTGTGCCGTCGAACGGCGGCATTCTTTATATATTCAGTAAAAACCGCTGTACTTGAAAAATTACCTCATTGTTCGTCGGTATTTATGTTAATTTTTGAGCGGTATTCATGTTAGAATTGGGTGGTATTGGTGGATTTAAAAAAGTGTAGCGTCGAACAACGGCATTCTTTATATATTCAGTAAAAACCGCTTTACTTGAAAAATTACCTCGTTATTCGGGCGGTATTTATGTTATTAAATATGTAAAACCGTCTATACTAGTATAATGGCGGTCTATCTTGGCGTCAATTGTCTATGCCGCCGGCGGTAAATTAGCCAGTTTGTTGTTTTTTACTATGTGCCTTGAAATTCCATTATTTTAAACCAGGTTTTCGAATATTTTATACTGGCAATCAAATAGATTATAATTAGTAAACTTTTCAGCCTGTCGCTAATTAAGTACATACTGCATAAGTGTGTTGCTTGTATAATTAAAAGCATAATCGACATAATTGGTATTCAATTATTATAGACATTCTTGCGTCATATTGCTCTTGTTCTATACTGAATTATGAATTATTTACCATGTTTTTCTTTTGCAAGGTTTTTTATTCCAAAAAATATTTATTTAAAATAAAAATAAAAATGTAAAGCCCCTACTACGTATAACCGTTGATTGAAAGAATTGGGAAGATACGCAACCTAATGGGCGAATTCGTGACAAGACTGATTTGATTTTCCCTTACGTCTCAAGTACTGTACGGTGGAGCCACCAATCGTCCTGTGGCCAACGCATAAAACACTCGTTTTCTCTAATTCGGCCAACGAAGGCATATCGAAAACGGTGTGGATCTGAAAGCGACATGATCTGATGGAGGAAACTGACAGTGTTGTCAACAATAGTTGGCTTGAAAATGACATTTATCATAATATTTTACATTTGAAGTAACATCGATCTTCATTCTCTGGCATTTTAACAGCCGAACTCACAGCTATTTATCAGGCTCTTATCCAAATTCGGATCATACCCCCGATTGAAGCATTAATACTATCTGATTCACTTAGTTCCCTCAACAGTATTGCTTCTTTAAACCCCAAAAACTCTCTAACCTGCAGCATTCGCGATCTAGTATATAAACTTACTGGAAGAAACTACAATGTGGATTCCTGGACACTCTGACATTGCTGGTAACGACCGAGCAGACAAACTGGCTAACGAGGCAACGCTCTTACAGAATATTGAAGGAACTCCATCCGTTATCGATTTCAGAAATTTCCACAAAAAAGTGTTCTTCATTATACTTCAAAATGAATGGGACATCCTCGAGGGAACTAATAAACTTAGATGACGTATATGCCACTTCTTCATCTGTTTCAAAATATATATTCTCTTGAACGCCGATCTTTCTGTAAAGTTGTTAGAACCCTCACAGGACACTCATATCTTACCAAATCATATAGTATCAGAAATGAACCCCCTCCTCAACGCACCTTATGCAACAACTTAATGTCAATGAGACACATTTTTTTTGAATGCTTACTTGTTGCCTCCCATAGGTCTAGATTCTTTAATGCTGTTACCTATGAGAATATTTTCGCGCCTTTTAACATTTCGAAGATTAATAAAGTTATGGAATTCTTAGACAGCATCAACATAACGAAAAAACTTTAATTTCTAACTTAAAATAATTTAAAATAATCTCATATTAAATAAAGCTTATTATTGAGCTCTAAAAAAACCCCGCTGTTGACGCGCTTTATAAATCAATACCTCTCTCTCTCTCTCTCTATCTTCATTTCCAAGGTAACTCTGACGCCGTTCTTTATTTAATCATATAATATTATGTCAAATTGTTTAATGATAGAAATTCCGTATTATTAAAATACCGTACTCAAAATCCGTAAATCTAGGGATTAATCAGTAGTTCTGGCAACACTGTCTCCGGCAACCACTCACTCTGTCGACTGAAAGCAGAACTACGGTCTGCTACGGTACAGTATTCTTTAGACTGTACTTAAACTGCCGTTAAACGGTAGCTTACTAAAATGCCGTTAATAGGTATGACGTCGTTGATGTGACGCACTTGGCGGCTTTATGAAATATAGGAATTTTATAAGGACTAACCAACGCTATCCACCCCACCAAATAACCAACTTAACCAACGCAACTAACCTCGACACTGATAAAAAAAAATTAAAAAACAAATATAAATCACAACCCCACCAAAAAACCAACTAACCAATGAATTAACACTCTCCAAATAACCACGCTAACCAACCCGCCAAATAACTAAACCAATCCAACCAAAAAGAGTGAAACCAATGTAATAAGATCACGCTATACGCAAAAAAATATAAAAAGTTTTGGTCAGCGTGAGATTTGAACCCCGGACCATTCGCTCACGAACCGATAGCCTCAGCCACAGAGCCACAGGTGCTCTTGCAATATGCTTATGGCTAGGCATAACTTTCCGCCGACATGAACGACGTCACAATATCTATTAACGGCATTTTAGTAGGCTACCGTTTAATGGCTGTTTAAGTACATCGTATTTTTTATCTGCTGCGCTGTAAACGACAGTGTAATCAGCGCGCAGCGGCGCAGGGCTAAACTAAATCTCGAAATTCTCGGACAGGCTGACAGTAACGCCGCGCCAGCTACATCTCGGATAGGTTTTGTGCTACGAAATCGCCCATAAGGTTGCGCATCTTCTTATTTCTTCAGCTTATATTCAGTCAAGCTGCAGAATAATAAAACAATGCTCAATACCACCAGTAAATAAAACATTAGTTTTCCGGAACCGGTTTTGATTATTTATCGTGTTACGCGTGCGCCAAAGGCGTGCGCAGTGAGTCTGTTGTCTTCCAAGTGAATCCCCAACTCCGTTATATAGCTCGAAAGACGAACGAAAGAAATTTATCTCGACTATATTGAAGAGCACCTTAAAAGCCTCCAGTCCTTAGCTTGTGCCATCGATATATTACATAGTGATCAAAACACATCACCACTTTTTAATAGACATGTATTTGATGACATCTGTCTGTAATGGATACATATAAAGTACTACAAAATCAGTTAAATTTTATAAAAAAAAACTTATTTTTGTGTTTGTAGTTGTTCTGAAAATTAACCGTTTTATTTTATGTGATTTTAGTCTCATCTGTATCTACAATAAATTAATATATTATACTTAATAAGAAAATTGCTAATTAGTAACAGAAGAAAATTAATATTAACATTTATAAAAAGGTACAATTAAGTTCTGGTTGTCTTGACTTGAGGGTAATTATATTGATTTAAGTCATTTTACTGACTTAACTTGCAGATCAGCGTGATTTAAGTCAAAAATATAGACTTGAGTCATAAAAACGACTTAAATAACGTTATATTGATTTAAGTCTTAACAAAAAATGACTTGACTTGAAATAAAATGACTTAAGTCAAAGACTAAGACTTAAATCATTTGAACTTTATGTTGAATTTGACTTAAGACTTGAATCATTTTGACTTTAGAAATGACTTAAGACTTGAGTCTCTTTAAAACTGACTTGTTGCAGCTCTGCATTTATGGTGGGGGTACAGAATGTTCAGCCATCGTTCATCGTTACGTCATCATTATTTGTCAAATATGAGTTTTAGGGTGTGTCTCAGATCAGTTCATATTTATGTTTACATTTTTTTAATTTTGACAATGATCGGGGTCCGCCAATAAAATTATAACCTCAAATCAAATGACAATGACAATTACTAAAAAGTATTTACGAAAGACTGTAATGACGTCACCAATCTCTTTCGAGAGAGTTCGACAATATATTATGACGTGACAGTAAACGATGTCTGAACATTCTATACTTAACAATGTGCAGGGTTTCTCCCCTTATGCTATTCCACCGCGCTTACAAGTTTTTTCTTTTTTGTCTGTTTCAGAAACCAAGCAGAAATTGCCCACACGTGCAGAGGTAGCATCTCACTACATGGAGCTCTGATCTACACTGTAGACCCCTGTACATTCGTTATATCCAACGGAGGTACTCAAAGTTTCCATATAAAAGCTTCCTCAGAAGTGGAGAGACAATCATGGGTTACAGCGCTGGAACTAGCCAAAGCTAAAGCTATGTAAGTTTATAGTAATCATATGGAATGTAGAATGTTTAGGAGGGGAGTTAATCACCGCGACCTTATAGATTTATTGTGTGTTCCCCTTTCTTGAGTTATAACGAGTTATAACTCATCATACAGTCTCAGGGCTTTAACAAAAGACAGTATCTGAGACGGCTCCACAGAGGCCAGCTCTCCATCCTCGACATCAGACGTACCAAGATTCATGGCACGAATGGTCGTCGTCTCGGCGCACTCAGTGATAAGGTGTTCTGGTGTTTCCCCATTTCCCCCCCAAAATCTGCATTTGCCGTTGTTTTTCAGTTTCAGCCTACTGAGGTGTTCGTTGAGGAGACAGTGTCCTGTTAGAAACCCCGTGACAATCCGAAGATTGTTTTTACTTAAATCAAGGAAAACCTTTGATTTTTCTCGGTCATAAGTTCTGAGGAACTTTTTCGAGTGTCTTAGACCGTTGGAGGAGACCCATTCCAAGTTACGGATGGAGTCTTCCAGATTCTTCAGTTCCGCTTTCACTTGGTTCCCGTTTGGAAAACAGAACGGTTCTGGTCCAGTTAGTGGAGTGTTCGCTCCTTTTCTAGCTAGATCATTTGCTTTTTCATTGCCTTCTATCCCTTGGTGAGCAGGCACCCAGAGTAGAAGGACTTTATTTTCTTTGCCTAATTTGTTGAGCATCTCTAGGCATTCTTTGACCAACTTCGAATTGATGGTTACTGAGTTGATCGCGTTAAGTGCTGCTTGACTATCGGATAGGATGGCAATTTCATGTTTTCGATAGTTCCTATCTAAGATAAATTGTACGCATCTTTCGATAGCGCAAATTTCTGCCTGAAGGATACTGGGGTAGGTGCCCATTGGTTCGGAGTATTCAGTTTTCGGCCCAAATACTCCTATCCCTGTCCCTGCTTTGGTTTTGGAAGCATCAGTATACCACGTGATGGTATGGTCTTTTATATGCTGAGTAAGCGTTTCTTTCTTCCATTCCTTTTTATTAGTAATCATATAGGTAATACTCTTATAAAGCGGGGTTCACACGCAACGTTTTACGTACGATTTGCCTGCGTCGACGAAATGTTCCAGATAACGTACAGACTAAGTTGCGAATTGTGTTATTTTAATTAGGAATCCTGCATATTAATATATCTACACTCTGTACTCTGTATATGAAAATATAAGCCTGAAATTCCCTAGCATCGTGAATTACAGAAATGTTTTGTTTTAGACGGAATATGGAGTCAGAAGACGATGATGTGGAGGCAGAAGAGTCAGCAATGTCCGAGGATCCTGACATAATGAGGAAATTAGAGAGTCAATTAAATGAATTGCAGGTAATTTTAGTTGGTTTCTGTAAGGTATAGGTATAGCCTGTGCAAGGAGAGGACACTTGACAGTAACTGTTGCCTGTCACTGTTTTAATTAACAGGTAACTTATATTTTCTGTCATTTTTTGAAGGTCTTTTGTCGAAACCTTCCCTCTGGCTCGTTGGACAGGCTTTAGTATAGATTATATCAAATAAACTTTTAGTCACATGATTAAGCTTGCCCGGCACAGCGTTGCCCGCCTTTGCATATTTTCTTTTAATCAAAATATTTTAGAAAACAAAAATAAATTAATATATATATTGTTGATTAATATAAAAAAATTTAAATTAATATATATATTATATTAATATAGAAACAGTTCTTATTTACATCAACGAAATTCACCTCCTTAACTTAGTTTTTTGCAACGGCTATTAAGCTATCTTGTACACTGAAAAGAACAATGTTCGACTGCAAGGTCTGCTAGTGAAAATGTTTAAGTTATCACAACACAATTCATTTAAACCAAAAAGTCGTAATACAAAACTAAAGTGTCAAAACGAATGACAATGTCAGGAAATAAATAAATAAATGTGGCAACTTGACATTTTTTACGAAACATGAATCCCCAGCGGGAAAAATAAATTTCAGTTAGTGAGCCCGGCGCCGAACATGGAACAACAGAACATGGTTGGCAACAATGGATTTAAAAATCGCGTCCTCGATTACGCAACTAAAAGTTTAATTGGTATAGCGAATATATGAAGAACTGAAGAAGTACCGTATGATTGAAAAAAACAGCGTCAAATAATGACAATCGATGATAATTTCGGTAAAGTCAATCTCTAGACGTTGAAATTTACTATACAGTGACATAAAAGTTGTCAAAATTAACAATAATTATTTTACAAGTATAGGACACATCTATTTCTAAAAAAATATTTTTTCTCGAATTTTAAACTAGTCTGTCCGACGACAAGATCATTGACAGTGATAGTTGTGTCTGTCATTTTAATTTCAAAGTAGTTAATTTTATTTTACAAAGAAATAAGTTGGTACAACTGGAACGCATAGCAGGAAATATTCAAAGCAGGAAATATATTTAAAATTTGACTGATAAGTGATTACTTCAAAATATTGTGAAAAAAAACTGTATAAAACTGAAAAAACGTAATCGAGTTATTTTATTTAAAAAACGGTATGTTTTACTACAAAACACCACTTACCAAAAAAAATATAAAAAAGAACTATTTCTTACTTTCAAGCTTCAAGAAATTTCCCGCATTTATTATTATATTTATCAATATAACTTATGTACAAATACAAATTTGTAATATTCCACAGGAATAAATAAAACAACATAAATAAAACAAACTATTTTATTACTAATAACACTTTTTATATCTTAAAGGTTGATTAATTAACTTTAATCTTAATTTTTTTTTAAATCAGTACCTTTTGACATTTTTCTGCAGTACTAAAATCCATTATTTACCTATCGTGTGATGTCGATATTTTACAGCCAGTAGTATATGTTTAGTACGATAATTGTAGCATATACGAGATGCACTTATCTACGACGAGATGGTATACAAACTTTATTGATGGTAACTTTATTGGTGTATAAGACTTTCTGCCTGTAGAAGCGAGTATTAACTATAAACTGTGCTCTGGGTCTACAGTTAATTTTCCCTCGATTTTTCCTCCACTTTACTTCAAAAGACACAAAACATACGTGATAACACGAATCAAAATGCATCATCTTCCAAAACGCAGATATTTGACATAAGTTGACACAAAATTATAACCTATAATTTGGCAAGACTTTGACAAGTCTCAAAAATCTAAAGGCGAGTTCATACGTATCGGCGTCCGTTTGTCGTTCATCGTTCCGTCAAACCAATAAAATTGAAATATGATCTGTCATTTTTGAAATAAACCAATAAAACTGGTTAAAAACAACAAGACACGACGCATGACGGATTTATATTTAAACCCATCCATAGTTAACTTAAAAAATATTAGAAACTTTTTTTAGTAAAATAAATAGATTGGTATGGGACGTCATCTGCATTTCTTCTGTCATCGTCTGTCGAAATCTTACCTGAGAAAAAAAACATAGTATACACCATTTAAAAATAATGTTTAAGCAATTTAAAAATAAATTATAACCTTCTTAAGGCCACCTGGCAGTAAGTTAAGAAATAAAGAAGACTACGGGCCAAGTAAATGACGTCTAGGGTTTGACGTCGCCAAAATTATTATCGATTATCATTCCTCAGCCGTCTTTGACGCCTTTTTTCAATCGTATGGTATTATAAACCTAACAGTAATTTTAACAGGATTTATTAATACTTTCTTGTGTTTTCAGATCTGTGAAGACCTTGTAGAAAAACACTGGAAGAATTTGGCCAAGCCTTTAGCAGAAATTGAATCAACGTCAGATTGTGAGTTGCTGGCCGGCAAATTGAAAGAAATCAGTGAGAAGGCCACGCTGTTCAGAATCTCCAGCAATGCAATGCTTAATGTAAGTTCAGTAGATTCTTCGAATATAAAGATTAAGGAAGGAGCCCAACTAGCAAATATAGTTCCCAATCCTTTTTAAAATGTCATTGCCTCTAAAGTATAGTTCCTAGGCCCACTCTGCCACTTAAAAGGACCACTTAAAATGTTACTCTATAAGGAATAGTCACTTTGAAGTATATTTTGAGAGTGACCGGTTAGTGCCTACCTACCATAAAAGTGGAAAATAAACACCCCGATTGCAAGTCGCAAACATGTAATTTAAAGAAGTGGCTGGAACTACCCGAATCTTCGAATATGACACCATAAAAGACCAAAAACTTTATAGTAACTTTTCAAAATAGGGGTTACTAACAAGTGCTACCATAATGCCTCCATTAAGTTTTTGTTACTTTATAGTAGCAATTTAAGTTACCTAGTTACTTCTGATTTATAGTAGCATTGAAAGTAGGAAAATGGTTACTGCTACCTTCCTAGGTCACTATAAAGTAGCCGTCGCTCATCCATTGCCACTAAAAAGTCACGTGGGTCAAAAACGGCTTCTTTATAGTAACCGTAACTTAATATACCTTAATAAATGTAATTTCCTCAGATTGCATCGTGTGCTGCTTTGTTTTAGTGTTATTTTTACTTGCTTTTAAGCTTTATTAAAATTTTGTAAAATCCCTAAGGTGAATAAAAAGGAATTTACATGTTCTAGAACTTTCTACCGAAGCATCAACATCAGAAACAAAAACTACATCTTTCTATAATACTACTGATGAACATCATAAATCAGGTAGTGACTGAGACATTTTTGAAGCTGTTTCTGTAGATGAGTGTAGTGTTAGTTCATCTGAAACTGAATCTCAGAGGAGAACTAATTTGTGAACCAACAACAATATAAAACAAAAGCTAAAAGAGGGGGCGTTAAAATACTTTTTACCTCTTGCAACTCTGAATAATATAGAAACAGTAATAATAGAAAATGCACAATAAGTAAAAAGTAACTTCAAAGGACAAGGCGGAACGTTACAGTAGCACCAATGGAATGTATAGTCGCCACCGCCGCGATCGGTGTAGCATAACGCCCCAATTAAGTGGCAATTTGGTGGCGCAGGGAACTTTCTTGGAAAAAATCACTTTATGGTTCCAAAGAATTGTTGACCATGTAGTTCCAAAAAAGTTATTGTTTCTATAAAGTCACCTTTGTATAGCTACAATTGCCACTTTATCAATCCAAAGATTTTAAAGGTCCAAACGGGTAGGGTTGGCCCTGGTTAGCCTAATATATTATTGTTCCCGGTACTTTGTGGAAGCATATGGAACTATAAAGTATTTTTCGGATTAAACGGCCATATTTTTTTCATGAATTTTTAATTTTTATTACAAAAATCAGCTTTTTACGTCAAGCGCTTTAAGCAGGATCATGATTAATCAATGACCAGATTTGTCGAAACACCCTGTATACATTTTTAAAAAATCTTAAAATTTAAAACATTTACTGACAACGTAAAATAAAACAACAAATTATTGAATCTACCCTACATTATATTTTACACGTATTGAATAACATTAGAACGACACTAATAAACCGGAATCTAGGTCGGCAATTTTAGGTTCCCGTGGCGGTCGATTCAAAGGCCCTTGCTTGCAATTGTTCTTAGCAATCGTGATAGCAGCGCCCTACAACGTACGCGATCTAAAACAATTGTAAATTTTCGCGGGACGCCGAGCATTTGAATCCAGGAACAGTTAACCTAATAGGACTGCTCATTCAGCAGAAAGTGTCTGCCAGGTGCATGCGAAAACTCTTCGCTTTGCGACCTTATTGTAGTCCTTGTCATGACAGTGTGTGTATTATTGGTTGTTGTATGCAAAACATTCATTATTTAGTTTATTTATTTAAACACCTTATATGTATGCAGTATAGAAAATTAACTGTATAAATCGTATTAAATATTCGCATAATGCATTTTTAAGAACAGCAGTTCCTAGTATCAGCTTTTACAAGCGTTCTTTTTAGAATACTTACATATTTTGCTTTAAAATAATTAATAAACAATATCGTAGGCACTTAGTAAGCACTTAGTTACAATCCACAACACAAAATGAACGTATTTATAAACTCTATAGCTCTAAAAACTTTAAAACACCTTTTTCATATTTAAAATCAACAAAATAATTAACTCAAAATTTCTCAGCTGTTATTTTTATTAGTTTTCCATAGGCAACCAATAATACACACTCATGACAAGGACTGCAATGACGTCACAACTGTCAGCTGAAGCGCGGGAAGAGGCGAACGTACGTGTTATGAGGATGAGCAATCCTATTAGTTTACCGTTCTTGATTTGAATCTAAATTCTTTTATCTGCGCAAGTTAAAATAATTTCGATCGAAAAAAAGGCGACAGGGTTGGCTTGTTGAAATTTTTTATATACTCTCAATAGTCTCAATGATACAATTTTTCTATTGTTTCAGTCTTGCAATAACTATTTCAAAATTGCCCAAACTCACGGTCCCAAACTCGTGAAGCTCTTGCAGCACGAAAGGGAGCAAAGGCAGCGGTTGCAGGAAATGGTGGAAACTCTGGCAGAGCAGCATTCGAAATTGGAGCGAGCGGCAAACGCGCACGCGCATAGGGCTGGTAAGTAATATTTAATATCTTTACTAGAGCTGGGCTAAAACGGGAAGTCACATTCACAGGTATGCCTTTCTGTGAACGTTATTTTTTTATTCGTCGTGAAAGTAAGGGGGTTTCCATTAATTACGTGAGGCATTTTTGACGGTTTTTGACTCGCCTCCCTCACTAGTGAGACGTCCGTCGTGAGATTTGTCTTCCCTTTCCTTAGTCTCACGTGAGCTCTATCAAAGCTTGTATCTTGAGCATAAATGCGTTGAATTTATTTAAAAAAAAAACAATTTGCTTTAATATTGATATTAAGACTAGTAAAGACTAGTGTTTTAGATTGTTTTGATTATATTACAGTTGAGGGTTGGAACCTTTGGTGTTACACAGCCAAATAAAAACACTAAATCACCACAATACACCAAAACAATTTTACTTTTACACAAACTTTTTTTTACTTTTACAAAAGTAAAAGTGTTTTGGTGTATTGTGGTGATTTAGTGTTTTTATTTTGCTGTTTTAAAAAATGTTAAAATTACAGTGATACTAACATTAAATAATACTTAAATGAAAACTACTAAAATGGATTGAAGGGAACATTCATTCTAATTCAGTCCATCTCCAACCAACTGAATTAGAATGAATGTTGTTCTTGTGACTGTACACTAGTCTCCACTAGTGTACAGTCACAAGAGTGACTGTTGGCACTAACAAATCCATGTAATTTTCAGTAAAATCATCTGCTCCTTCACTTTCGCTCTGATTTAGCCACTCTGCAACCGTAGTTACTTGCGCACAGTAGTTCAGTAGCTCGTCTTGTGAAATTTAGGCTATATTCCATTGCAAAACCAGGCGAACCAGACCGGTAAACTACGGTAAAGAGCGGTTCCTGAAAAACATCGGTTTGATACGGAACGGAACCATGGTACAAAGAAAACAAGGTATGATCGATAGCGGCTCCAATTTCGTTAAGTTTGTGCATACCACCTGTGACGTCATACGCCATACAAAAAAATATTCATATTGTCCAATTGCCACTAATAAAAAAAGACCTAAAATAGGGAAGAATTAGGACATAACCCCAAAAGTTATGTCAAATCATCGAACTTGACATTTGAAAAATTATTTTCACATTTATTATGTCATCTGTTTGACAATTTGAAATTGGCGCGCGGAGCTTGCCGACCAATGGTGCCGTTTATCACCTGTGACGTAGTGACCAACTTGCGCAATATCATACCTTGTATTCTTTGTATCATGGAACGGAACGGTTTGGTAAAATACTGGAAATGTCAAATGTTGACGTTTTCTAAATTTCAATACCTTTATCATAAAATTTATCTTTTAAGCATTTTTAATGCACCTATTCTCTGCTTTTACGTTTGCTTCTTCTTTTCAATGGAGTTTAATATTGAAAAGTACTTTATTAATAAACTATTAAACTCGTTAGACAGCTCAAGTGAAGATTTCCAGGTCCAATATTAAAACAGATCAATAATAAATAAACAAATCTAATCAATATTTATATTTCTATAGCTTACAAAACATTCACGATTACTTGTTGTCTTGTTTTTCATGTTTTCTTTAAATGGTCCTAAAAAGACATTCTATTTAGTTAATGAAATTTATTTAGCTATACTGCCTACCTTCATTGCTTTTGGTTGTAAATACAAAATATTATAACAAATTTTAGAAATGAAATAAGAATTTCACTCGAACTTCCAATATCTGCTTGATTTCTGTCACATAAATGACATTGATTGACAGACAAAACCAGAAAAACCAACTTGAAACCAACCTTCTCGCGCTGGTTAGTTTGATGACAGTTATATCCGAATTTTTCAGGAACCGTGTTCCGTAATAAGAAAACTTTCAGGAAACCGATAGAAACGGAACATAAAACATAAAACCATAACCAAGGTAAGCAATGGAATACACCCTTAAACTGCGCGACATAATTTTTCAATCAATAAGGAATCGGGGACCACATTTTCGATATATCAATACTAAATAACTTTATATCTATTCATGGATTTTAATATACAGAGGAATTGTGTCAGATTTCGGCATATTTTTGTCTAGAAACATGTTTTACTTTAAATTAATCAGATTTTTTCACATTTTTACACTATATTTTGACTGAAAAAAAATTGGCGCCGGGAGGCACGTATGGGCGGCTACCATACTAAAATATGTTAATAAAAAGTTGGTAGGTAGTTCTTTTAGTTTCAAAGTAAAGGAATTTTTCCAATTTTTTTTTATCTCAAAAACTGCGACTTGATTTTGATGTTATTACAAATTTTGTTGAAAATATTATTCCTAATCTTAAATTGAAAACCGCGTTTCGCTAGCTACTGTAATTTTGGAGTTACGATTTTTTAAAATTTTTAACCCTTCCCATATCCCTTTACCAACCCCCCACCCCCACCAAAAACTAATGGCCAGATTCTCGGGTGCCACAGTATTTTTGTGCCAAATTAGGTTAAAATCGGTTTAGTTTGAGTTATCGTGTTACAGACGGACAGACACCATGAAAATATTTTGTATTTATGTTATTTATGACCCAAATAACTCATTTTGAGTGAAATTAATTTTTTTTTGCCGTTCTTAATAGCCTACCGTATCTGTTGGTATAGTCGGCTAAAAAAATATGTTATATTTGCAGAAGCCCCCTCTTACTCGCACGCGAGATTTAGTGAGATTTGGCTTGCCAAACTCCCCCCTTTGATTCCCTAACGTAATTTAATGGACGTCTCCTAATTTAGTATACCTCATACAAAGCATGCTTGAACATAAATCTTCTCATAATATTGCATGCTTAATGTTTTCTTCAAATAACGAAATTCTAACTGATACTTTAGTGTAGGCAGAAATGGAATAAATAAACATGTATTTGAATCATCCCTATGGAATATTTTAAAATGGGGGTTATACTCAAGGGTTATACCGTATACATATAACTTAAAATATACTCAGTGTTCCCTATTTAACCCCGTGTGCTGTTTCCGTGCCGTAAGAAAAATACAACATAACTCAGCTCCATATTAATGCTGCATAAGTCTATTTCACCCGGATATGTATTGAACTGCGATTGCGCCAAACTTCGATTAATTGTTGTTTTAGTTCTGTTTGGATTACTTTTTATTTGTGCGCGTAAAAGAGTGATTTTGTTTAGTTTATTGTTTCCAACTATTTTTTGATATTTTTCCAGCTCCATGATAATGTGTTATAAATAATAAAAATATAAATAAAATTGAAGGTTAGGTGAAATGTCGGTCAACCACTTCCCTGTAAAAACACCGACCAATGAAAACTTCTTCAGGTAAGGCATGCGCAGTTAAATCAATATCCGGGTGAAATAGACTTATGCAGAATTCCATATTTCTCTTTCACCGTTTGGGCTTCATTTTTTAGAGTATAGGTACAGTACGTCTCACGGTGGGGTATTAGCATGAAAAAGGTGATCGAAATTCGAAAAAGCAAATGTGTTTAAGATCTCCCAAAAAATAGATAAATGATAAGTTAAATCATCTCTGCCATGGATGGCTTTGCTATGGGTGTGTTTAGTTGCATTCATTTGTTTCAGCGAAACGTCAAAGTTGTTACTTCTCACAGATAAGAGGTAAATGGCTAAATTTTATGTTTAAAATTATAAATTGTTGTTGTTCTTGTGCTCTTTTTACGTTTATATTATTGTTTTGATTGAAAATGGCTCAGCAAGCTGCAGGTATGTATTCTACATAAACGTATTATTTATTTTGATCTTCTCTATACTAACGATTTTTTTTGCAACTAAAAGTTAGGCGTTCAGAAAATTTGATTAAATTTGTGACATTTTTATTATACTTAGAGATTTAGTTGCGCATTTCAAAGAATTCAGCATATTGTCTTTATACGTTTTACTTAGTAAACATTGGGCTTTCATACAGTAAAATAAAATACTGCGACTTTTTGCGATTTTGCTGATAAAATGAGAAAAACATTCTTGGTTTCCTCTAATTTGCCAATCAGTGATATATTAATGCGAGGTGTAAACCGCGATAGCATTGTTGTGTACAAAGCGATCGCATTAGTGCCATTAGCAGTATAGCACAATTTGGCATTAGTAGCGACTTTAGTGGTATGGGCATTACTCGCGGATCAGTCGTAGCATTAGTAGTAGTTGCGATATTACTACTGGCACTGACCGTGGAAACACTGGAACAGTGATTTTTCTTTCTTTTTTTAGAATCGACGAATTATCCTTTATTTTGTTTATATTATTTCCTCTTTAATTGAAAATAGCAATAATGTATATAAGGTCTACATAAAAAAATTTCGATCAACTATCAGTGTCAAATACCCCACTGTGCGTCTGTTCGTTCTGTAGCTACGGGGTATCCGTGAGAGGGGAAACGATATTCTCTCGATGTTTTTCGTAAACAATTAGACGCCGCTTCCCATCAATAAAAATTCGAGAAATTTGCAAGTAGCCAATAGAATGAGTGGGCGGAGCGATTTGCGGTGACGTACTGGTCAAGTCGACGTATAAAATATATTACTGTTTATTTAAATGATTTTTTGTCCGCATTCCTTTCATAGACACAGATCCAGCAGACGTACTGTAGTTATATGTATATGTTTTATACCCTTGTATATGAAGGGTTATACGTAGCGTATGATCGAAAAAAAGGGCTGGTGAATTTTACCGTGACCAATCTCTCCCGACCCTGTATATGAAGTTGAAAATGTATGCATATTTTCATCATACTATTTGAAGATTTAATTTTTTTTATTTATTTAGGAACAGTAAACATTCAATATTACATACATACAGTTTGACCCGGATTGTCTTCATTAAAATTTTTGCTGGTTGTGTAAAATATAATAATAAAATGTTATTATTAATTAATTGATCATTACCTCTCTTATAATTAATCATTCTGGAATTTATTCTAATATATAATATGTCTGTAGCATCTTTAGTTTCCTTAAAAAGTAGCACAGTAATGTGTAAAAGTAGCACAGTAAACCGCATC